CCCGGCCAGTTATATTGTTGCTGAGCCCTCTTGAATCCATAACTCGCAACAAATCCATCGATTTCTGCAGGGCCACGTGACCCATAAGCATAAGGTACCGGGTTGATTTTTTCATTATCGATTTTATGTAAGATTGGTGTAAAAATTTTCCAGGCTGCATCCAATTCATCATCACGCACAAAATTAGAATGATCACCTTTTAATACATCAAGAATCAAAGCTTCATATGCATCGGGAATTTTTAGATCAGAAAAGCGACGATGATATGTAAGGTCCAGTTCAGAGATTACCGTATCCATTGAAAGACCCGGTAATTTATTTACCATTTTCATATAAACAGCCTCACCCGGCTGAACACGGATAACTAACTCATTACGAGGTGCATCCTTGAACACATTGCCAGGCACGTGCTGAAATTGAACTCGAATTTCAGTCTTTTGCTCATTGAGAGCTATTTATGAGAATAAAAATAGTTTAGAAACATGAACAATCGAACGAAAAATTGTAAAGAAAAATTCCTTCTACAAAACCTTTGCCACATTTAAGAATAAAAGGAACACCTTCCCAACGTTCGTTATTAATCCATAAGGTCGCAGCTGCGAAAGTAGGACAGTTACTGCCTGGGGGTACAGTCTTATCGTCTAGGTATCCAGGTTTGGTACCATCTTCAGATTTTGTATATTGCCCAAGGACAACATCTTTCAGCTCCACTGGAGGGATACAACGTAAGACACGAACCTAGAGCAAAGATAAGTAAGAAGAATCGCAAGATCAAAAAAAAAAAACTGAAAGGAGAGAGAGACTAACTTTTTCATCACGGACATCTTCTGAGCCTAATGATATAGGACGTTCCATAGCAACAATACTCAAAATTTGTAAAAGGTCTAAGAATCGACAAGTAATCTAATTAGTATATAATTATAATAAATAGTAATAATTACAAAAAGATATATATATTTTATTTTAACATACGATTTTGCATGACATCCCGAATTATGCCAAACTCATCAAAGTATCCACCTCGACCTTCAGTTCCGATTTTTTCTTTAAAAGTAATCTGAACATTAGCAATATTCTGGCGATTCCAAATAGCTCCGAAAAATATATTAGCAAAGCGGATAATCAATAGATTTTTAACCATTTCTTTTCCAAGATAATGATCAATACGAAAAGTCTATTGTATTTTATACAAGTTTAAATTGTATTAAAAATTTTATTCAATGAATCATTGTATGGGTAGTAGATACGATCCCTTTTTCAGGAACCAATGGTAAACAAACCTCTTCTTCTCTCCATAAAGGAGCCAATGCTTTACCCAGTTCACGGGAGCTTTCCAAATCCATCCCGAAAGGTTTTTCAACAATTAAGCGATTTAAACCCTTTTTAGAATAGAGATTATTTTTTACACCATGAGCTACAGGTATAAACACGCTAGGAGGCAAAGCCATATAGAAAACTCGGTTTTTATTTCCATTTTCAAATCCCATCTCAACTTCTTCTACAGCATTGTTCAATCTTTTATAATCTTCATCTTTATCATATTGACCAGAAACATATGTACAAAGCTTTAAGAATTCCTTAAACTGCTCCTTAATAGGATCAGAAGGAAGTTTAGCAAAATCAAGAAGACGATTATGAAATTCTTGAATTGTAAGATTGGACCTTGCATAACCAATGATGCGGGTTCCTTCAGGCAAAAAACCATTGCGATAAAGACCAAAAAGTGCAGGATATGTCTTCTTTTTTGCAAGGTCACCAGAAGCACCGAGAACTGGAGTTAATCAAACATAATGACAATTATATTGATAATACTTTATATTTTATCATATAAAAAATAAAAATATCATATTACCGACTATTGTCGTGAGACCAGTAAGCTGAGTTTTATCCATGATAATAAAAAATAAAAGGATGATTGTCGTCGTCTTATTCCCACGTTTTGTATTTAAAATATAAGAAAGGTTACACAAAGTATTTTGTATGCTGAGATTAATAAGTTTCTTATTGGGCAAATTGATCAAGAATCCATAGCATTATTAATACGATATATATGTTCATGTGACAAAAAGATAGATAAATTTGATTAATCTCTTATTAATCTGTTTCATGCAATTTAATGTAATTTAGCAATTTAGGTTCTAAATAGCTTTATACATTATGTACATTCATAACTTTATTTGTAAAATAGATGTTTCAATTTTTTTACTATTGGTTACACGACATAAGGTAGAAAGTCTTCCTATTTTTAGAGACTAAATAGATTAAATAGGAATGATCGGGTTAATCTTGATACGTACGCATACGTAAGTCCGCGTGAATCGACATAGATTATACAGATTATACAGATATGAAACCGGAATTTTTGAACTAATGCATTATTTCCGCGCAGTCTTAATAGATTGATTAAACTTTGTGCGTAGTATATATGACAAAGAATCTCTTATAGTACTTAACTATTATGTACTTTAAAGATGAATTTATCAAGTCTGACACAATTGCGATATAAAATAGAAATTGACAAAGATAAGTTGATGTTACAGGATGACAACAAGTAATCTATTACTTTATGCAGAAAAGTTTTACATTTCAAAAATTTATGTTTCGAATTTTAGAAACGAGTTTCGTTAAATTTAGTGTTTTTCGAAACTATATAGTTTCATATAAGTTTCATTTCTAACCGTTAATGCTCTACAAAAGTTCCAGTTTATGTGCCTGGTATTTGCTGAATCTAACTATGCCCAAAAAAGTGGCTAAAATCTTGTGATTCTAATAGGAAAGATCTTTGTAAATTGTAGGATATTTGTTGTGAAGCAAAACGAAGGATTAATCAAACTCGACAGTTTCTTTATGTCCGAATTTCCAAACTAGTGTTATTAGTCGGTCTCAAGCATCTCAATCAATTATTTAAATAATGATAATGGTAACGCTCAAGCATCACAATCAATGACGACATTTATAGAATTAAATGCTTGAGCGTACTCTTTCTAATTTTTATAATATTCACTACGCCTCTTACAAAACCTAATAAAACTTTTTTTTATTCAACCAGCTGCCGAAGTTTCAATTTCAGGTTTCACTGGCTTCACCTTTTAATGATTTTACAAATTAAATTTTTATTACAACAGTAAAAGCATCAACTTAGCAAGAATTGCTTTGCGGAAACAAGAAGTAAATTATAAGAAATCTTTAGCAATTCTACCGTTGCTATTTCGCACCGAAAGTAGCATAGGTAATACGAAAATATTTCAAAAAAGTTATAACCTTCATTATCCGTTAAATATAGAATCTACCCAAATCCTTCAGTTTTTGGGTCGTCTTTGCTGAAAAATTTTTTAAATTTGGGTGAACGAAATCGATTATTTGCTTTAAAAGCTTCAAGCATTAAAAATAAAGTAGCTATTTTTTTTTAGATCGGTTAGAAATTTGTTGAGAATTCATTTTTTGTTATATAAAAAATGTAAAAGTAATGCTTGATCGATGGTAAATTTTTGAAGAAAAAGATGGTTTGTAGCAGCTCACTTGGTAATTTATTTATTGAGTGACACCCTTATAAAAGCTGGCTTGGCTGACTTAGCCGATTAAAGTTCTATTGTAAACTCAGCCAGGGCGGACCCTTAAATGCGGTCACAGGTCTGTCAAGTCACATAGAAGATAGCGCAGAAACAAAAACCATAGCTTATACTGCAGCAATAGCGCGTCCAAATGTTAAATGATTTTTGTTTCGCAACCCAGTCATTATCTCTATATTTAGTCGACTAATGTTAAATCGATTAATATCACTATTCCAAACTGCCAAACTAATCTGGATTTTGTCAAAACAAAGTTCCAGTTGCAATATAATACTTACTAGCGCGTAGGACCCGGCATTGCTCGGGTTCTAGTTTTTAATTTTTTGCTAATTCTTAGGCCTCAATAAATTAGATTATGGCATATGTTTTAGATTTCAGTATTTGTTTTGGATTGCCAAAAAATTGGTGCTTACAGATGGATTTCAGTATAATTAATGCATGATCGGTATATAAAAGATTATTGAGTTACTATTATTACAGCACATTGTTCAATCAACATAATATTACATTCGCAACGTCAACTATTTCAACTTTTTTTTTTTTGCCTTATCCAATATGTATAATACAAAAATTTATGTCAAAAACTGTTCTTGCCAATTAACTAAAAATGTTTTGAACATAAGTTGGACTTTTTTAATAAACATATAAACTTCAATTCCTGTTTGTGAATCTTTAATTATCTTTGGTAACTTATAATATAGCAAACCTGTTTATTTGAAATTTTGCCTTTTTAATATGTAACACTCTATACAGTATTACATGAATAGGCACTAATAAAAAAAAAATTTAAATATGATCAGTGGTTTTAAAAATGCAACACAAGTTGAAGATTTTATTAATATTTGTCGACAATGTTTTAAGAATTATAATAAAGTTCAAAGTATGTATAATATTTATTTAAAATGATGGTAATTCATCAACACTGTCATACCTTTGAAATTGCTTGAGAACTCGACCCACAGAAGACCTGTTAATACCCAAATGTTTAGCAATTACTCTAACTTAAGTCTTCTAAGTTCTTTTAACTAATTTTCCAATTAATATGTTTGAAATTTTTTAGTAACAAATATATATATATTATGTATTTATACTGTATAGCACCGAGATAAATAGCTTATCGAATTCAGTCAAATAGAATTTGGCAAATTTTTTTTAGGGTGTTCCAGAATTTATAAAAACAGCTGTAAATATTTTCAGCACAGCTGAAACTAATTTCTATGGCATGTATAGATAGCAGTCATGTAAGTTTTAGCAATCAATCATCTATGTAGCATAGAACAATTAATGCAGTAAAATAAAGCATTATTATCATTCTAATAGTTTACCATTCTTTCCCGACACCACATTCCCCGAAATTATCTTTCTCAACATCACCCTTCTCTAACACCAAATTTTTTCAATCATTCTTCCCCGACACCCTCTTTCTAAGCACTATCCTTCCTGACACCACCCTTCCCAACACCATCTTTCCCCTTTCCCAGCACCACTCTTTCCAGACACCATTCTTTCTAAACACTTTTCTTCCCCGGCACTACCCTTCCCTGACACCTCTTTTCCAACATCACCCTTCCCTAAACACTTTTTCATTAATTTCGCCACAACACTACTATTTAAAATAATTATTAAAAAAATTAAAAAAATCTATAAAAAATTACCGTTTAAGTAAAAAACAATCAAATCATAATTTAAATTAAAAAATATTTTAAATTATTGTGGTTTGCATAATTTTGTGACATCTATGGTTAATTTTTTTATGAATAAATTATTGTGATTGCAATCACGATTGCTAAAGCAGCCAATTTATCATGAATCTGAGTTTGTGTCAAGTTCGGATTTATAATAAATTGACCAGCTTTAACAATTGTGATCGCAATCACAATCATTTAATCATAAAAAAAAGTGATTATAAGAGTCACAAAACTGTGCAAACCGCAATAATATATATTTTAAAAAAAAACATTTAAATTAAAAAAACTTGAGTAATAATAATAAGTTTTGACTATTGATATGTCACAAAATTTTTACACAATTGACGAAAAATATTTTTATATTATTTTACAATATAATTTTGGAAGGCTCACTTGACTTATCTTTTTTATGAATTGAAAATGATTAAACAAACATAAAGCTCTCACTTTGCTTTACAATATATTTTTTTAATTTCCTTGAATCCCATAGTTTTGTCTTTTTATAAATTTCTTAAATTGATTGGTTAACTAATCTCATAGTGATATAGACTGGTCGATACAATAAGTAATCTGTGTAATAGAGAATAAAGATCATATTTATATTTGGATGGTTTCTCCTGTTATCATTCACATTTTATTGCAGTTTGCATAATTTTGTGAATCCTATGGTTCAATTTTTTTGTTTAATTATTGTAGTTGCGACAGCTAGTGATTGGCGCCATAATCATGTAATGCTAATTGTCACATAATACAATATATAAAAATCAACAATTAGATTGTTGATTTTTATATATTTTACCATGTGACAATTAGCATCACATGATT